CTAATATCGATATATATATTTTTGTCTAAAAAATTTGACATCTTTAAATTGTCTAAAAAATTTGATATCTTTAAATTTATATTTTATTTAAAAATAAAAATATTTTATTTTTTGAAGTATTATAAATTTATTGTAACATTTTTGGATAAAAACTTAACTTTTAGATACAGACTTTGATCTTATAAAATATTTTGAATCTATTTTAGATATGACGTTTTTTAATTTGATACGTTTCTACTATTGAGTATTTTTTTTTTAAAGGCTGTATTTTTCCTACCATGGAAAGATTATGTATAAGCAGTTATACAAGACCCATTTTGGGTTAACAAGTTCTCTTGATGAGGATTAAAATACGAGTTCTTTTTGGAATAAATATAAAAAGAGATGCATGTTGAACCGGTTTTTATGAATAGTTGAATGAAAATTTGTTCAAGGAATGAGGACCATGTCTCGTATAACGACCTTTCTTTGGATTTGTATGAAATTGATCGAAGGCTAAACTCTTTTGAATTGAATACGTATAAGTTGGATTTGTATGAAATTGATCGAAGGCCAAACTCTATTGAATTGAATACGTATAAGTTGGTATTTGTTTCAATACTGTATTAGTCTACTCATTCAATGGCCTTAAATGATATATACATGATCAAATGAATATATATCTACCAAAAAAGGAACCCAATCAATGAAGACTTGAAAAGGCAAGGACAAAGAAAGGGTATTTGTTGCAACCTTTGCACCTAGAGACCGGACCAACAACGAATAGATCAACTCAAAATATAGGAAATTTGATTATATATTATCTACTTTCATTGTGTAATATTAGTAGGGTGATTACACAATACAACGAGATATATCTTGATTTTTAATGTTTCGTTTTATTTGGTCTCCATTGATGTTTTAGTACGATTTTATATAGTACTAAAAAACGATAACGTTTTTTTTTTTTTTGAATAAAGTATAAATTTAAAGGTATCATAAAAATTTCTTCAAATTTGAATATTTCAATCTTATATCTTTTTTCTTCTGTTTTAGCAATAACATTTAGCGTAGTTTTTAGAGCAAAAAAATTATATATGTAAAAGAAATTATTTTAACATAGTTGTTAAAAATGTTGTAACGCCTCATATTGTATCGAATAAAAATTGTGTCCCAAACTTTTCCGTCTGTTGACGTCCATCGATCAGATGGATCCACGTCATTCACTTATTGAAGAGAAATAACAAAAAAAAATTATATTTATTAAATATACCGAACGTTTTAATATTATAGTTAATATTAGAATTGCTAACGGAGTATCCTTCGAAGTTAGATGTGACTTTTTGACTTTTGAAATTTTAATTAGAAAAAATTAGTACAGTTGTTGAAGATGCTCTAAATAAACTGTTGAAATTTGGAATAACAACAACAAATCTCGAGAAAATGACAATTGAGTTTTATCAAACTAAAGCCGACAATGGTCATGTGAGAACTTATACTATCGTAACCATTTACGCTTTAACTTTAATGCCTTTCTTGTTGTGAGTTAATATTGTGATATAGAGCCCTATTCTGACTCATTAAATGTTTAGTTTAGCTTCATCAGGTGTTCCATATTTAATTAATAATAAGTCATTATATATGATAATTCTTAAACTTGTAATTACACTATCTAGCAATGGTTGAATGTTCTAGAAGACATGCCCATACAGCATGTGACCCCAATTAATTATATAGGTAAGAAATTAAAACATACAGTTAAGTTTTTTTTAATATTTGTCACAAGTCCCTTGTTTACATGTTAATTGCATTTGGTATCATACCAACCAACAAAAATTAGCCCACTATTCATGTAGACTAGTCAAATATGGCATACATATATATATTCTATACTATATTATAATGCATTTGGCTAAAACTCTTAAA